ATGGGGTCAACTTCCATATGTACGCGGATGTCACCCAATTCTATCTTTCTGCCCCCACCCTCAACTCCAGGACCACTGCTGTCCTGACAGACTGTCTGTCTGCCCCCACCCTCAACTCCAGACCCACTGCTGTCCTGACAGACTGCCTGTCTGCCCCCACCCTCTGCCCCAGACCCACTGCTGTCCTGACAGACTGTCTGTCGGACATCAAGTCCTGGATGAGGGCAAATCTCCTACAGTTGAATGTGAACAAGACTGAGGCCCTCCTGATCGGCTCGCGCCAGCGCCTCCGCACCTCAGGCTCTGGTAACATCGACCTCCATGGTTGGACACTTCAACTCACCAACTCACTGCCAGTAAGGAACCTGGGGGTCTTCTTCAACCCTGAGTTGTCCTTTCTTCCCCACATCCAAGCCACAACTGGCACCGCCTTCCATGAGGATCGAATTCAAGATCCTCATCCTCACCTACAAGGCCATTCACTGCCTCGCTCCCTCCTACCTCTCTGACCTATTATCCCCCTACTTACCTGCCCGTATCCTCCGTTCCTCTGGCTCCGGTCTGCTCCACATCCCCCGCCCCAACCGCCCTACCATCTGTGGCCGGGCCTTCAGCCACTCAGCCCCGAGGCTCTGGAACTCTATCTCCCAGTGCCTTCGCCGCCTCCTCCCTTTCCTCCTTCAAGGCCGGTCTCAAGACCTTTCTGTTTGACCGTACCTTCAGCTCCGCTCTCGACTCTCTACCCCTCCTCGCCCCCTCCCTTCCCTCCCCTCACCCTGACCATTTCCCCCCTGCTCGGGTCCTGACCCAACTGTCCAACGCTTGGAGACGTCCAATTCAAGTTCCCGGTCCTCACCTACAAAGCCCTCCATGGCCTCGCCCCACCCTACCTCTGCGACCTCCTAACCCCCTCCTAACCCGCCCGCTCCCTCCACTCAGCCGGCTCTGGCTGCTCCATGTCCCCCGACCCACCCGCCCCACCATTGGCGGGAGAGCCTTCAGCCACTCTGCCCCCAACCTCCGGAATTCCATCACCCAGTCATTCCGCCTCAACCCCTCCTTAGCCTCCTTCAAGTCCCGCCTCAAGACCCTCCTCTTCAACCATGCCATCGGCCACTCCCCCCTTCCCCTCCCCTCCTTTCCTCTCCTGACCCCAGCTCGGGTCTGAAATGCTGTCATTGTCCAGTGCCTTGGGACGTCCTCCCAACACAACAGTATTCCACAAACAGTTGCAGATTGAGTGACCAAATTATTATTATTTTTTTGGAGGGATTATTAGGCCTGGAAAGCAATCTGCCTATCGACTAACAACCGGTTTCCCACTGACTGCTGGTAAATAGAGGTGTGTGCAGTAAGGAAACTTGTCTAAGGTTTCTCCCTGCCCGGGAATCAAACCCAGGTCCTCTCGCTTGCGAGGCGAGTGCTCTAACCACTACACTACAGGACTCCACGTGTGGGATGGACCTATCAAGGTGTTTACAGTGAGGATGGGGAGTAGCGAGCAGGGAAGAGAGGAAGAGGAATTCCAGGATGTTGACCAAAGGTACAAACAGAGAGAGGTTTTGAATTAGGGAGTTACTGACATTTCCTGTAAGTCTTAGAAAACCTAGAAAATTCCAGCTGTTGATTTTTTGTGATCCAACTTCAGAATTTTATCAGAGAACCAACAAAGAACCCACAGAGGCCAAGTGGTCTTAAACTCCTGGTATGCTGGTCAATGAACTTTCTATAGTGCAACAACATGATGACAGTCGATAGCAAAGTTGCAAAACCTAAGGCTTTTAGTTTAGAAGAAGGTACAGAAGAAAGCCATTCAGTCCATCGTATATTTCCTGCATTGTATCCTGTAGTTTAGTGGTTAGTGCGCTCGCCCCCAAAACGAGAAGACCAGGGTTCGATTCCCGGACGGGGTGAAACCTTAGGCAACAACAACTTGCATTTATATAGCACCCCTCACGCAGTCTCAGAGCGCTAGGCAAGTTTCCTTACTCCACAAGCCTCTATTTACCCAGCAGTAAGTAGAAACCTGGTTGTTAGTCGATTGGTGAATCACTTTCCGGTGTAATAATCCATCCAAAAAAAATTTGGTTACCCAATCCACAACTGTTTGTGGGATACTGTTGTGTGCAATCGGTTGGCATTTTTCACCCACAAAATACGCAGTCAATCCACTTTACAGTATATTCTGGAAGGCCTTTGAGGCATCTCAACGACATGCCAAAGTTCTATTTAAAGGATTATTATTATGCTCCTTTAATGAAAGTTGTGTCCACCTGACAGAGAGAGTTATGCTGTCTACTTTCGATTAACGTTTTGGTAACACTTCCCAAATACTAAGGTGATCATTGAGCATAGAGGTATTTGCAGAAGGTAGAAACAGGATGTTAACTAAAGCGTTCAAAGATTTGTATTAGGAGGATGTTGAAGGCAAAGAGAGTGCAAGAAGAGGGATTTGTGGAGAGAGTTTCAGAGCAGAAGTACAGTTCTATAACTGTAACTTCTTCATTTCTTTATGCTTCATGTGATATTGCAACTTGCAGTTTTTCATCACTTATAATAATAATCCTTACATTTGACATAGCGCCTTATTATGTCGTCTAGACATCTCAAAGCCCTTCACTGTAAAGTGAATTGACTGTATATTTTGTGGGCTAAACATGGCAGCCAATTGCGCACAGCAACGTCCCACAAACAGTCGTGATGGTTTGGGTGACCAAATTATTATTTTTGTGGGGAGGGATTATTACCTTCAGAAAAAACAACCCACCAACTGACTAACAACCGGGTTCCCACTCACTGCTGTAAACAGAGTTGTGTGGAGTGAGGAAACTTGCCTCAGGTTTCTCTCTGCGCAGGAATCAGACCCGGGTCCTCTCGCTGGAGAGGTGAGGGGTCTAACCCCTGAGCCACAGGACTACAGTTCTGACTTAAAGGGGCACTGTCACTTTTAAAAATGTTGAATTGCCGTTTTTCTGAGGTCAATGTGTAAACTCCTCCACAAACCCAATTTTTCCCACTGTTGTTGGTTATTCCCCCCCGGAATAGTTTTACTATGTAACAAAAGCAGAGAGTGCTGGGAAAACTCAGCAGGTCAGGCAGCATCTATGGAGAGAGGAAAGTGAGTGATCGTTTCTGCTCCGTGACCCTTCGTCAGAACGAAGGATCGTGCCTTCGTTCTGACAAAGGGTCGTGGACCCGAAACGTTGACTCACTTTCCTCTCTCCATAGATGCTGCCTGACCGGCTGAGTTTTCCCAGCACTCTCTGTTTCAGATTTCCAGCATCTGCAGTATTTTGTGTTTTGTTCATACCATCATAGTTTTACTGTGTGATGGTTTGCTGTACTGCAAAGCCTCACTCTGCTCGAAATGAGTGATATTATAACATTGCCGTCCTATTTAATGACTCTTTGTTTATGTTGGGCTCAAATTTAGTTTGTTTGGATTGTTGACCATTTCCTCTTGCAATTTCACAATCTGAAAAATAAATAACGTTAATAATAATCCGCAGTTAGAAACTACCCTCATTTATCTCATCACACAACAGGGAACTTTACAACTTGCTAATTGTACTAAGGATAGGAAAAGAGTGCTAGCATCATGTGTGTGTGCCCCTCTGTCTGTCTTTGTGGAGTCCTGTAGCTCAGTGGTTAGAGCACTCGCTTTGCAAGTGAGAGACCTGAGTTCAATTCCAGGCAGAGGGCGAAACCTCGGGCAAGTTTCCTTACTCCACACAGAGCCTAATAATAATCCTCCAAAACCAAAAACAATAATAAATTGGTCATTTTCAATCTACGACTGTTTGTGGGACATTGCTGTGCGCAATTGGCTGCCGCGTTCGCCCACAAATATACAGTCAATTCACTTTACAGTGTGTTCTGTGAAGCGCTTTGAGATGTCGAGAAGACGTGAAAAACGCTATATCAAATGCAAGGATTATTATTATTATTACACTGCTCTTTCTCTCGGTCACTCTGTGTCCCTGTGTGTGTCCCTCTGTCTGGCTCTCTGTGTACACCCCTCTCTCTCTTGCTCACTCCTCAGTCTGTGTGTACGCTCTATCTCTCTCTTTATCTCTGTCTTTCTCTCTTTCACACTGTCTTCTCCTTTGTGTTCATGTGTCAGTGTGTGTCTGTGTGTGTGTGTCATTATATTAAGTCTGTGTGTGTGTGTGTCATTATATTAAGTCTGTGTGTGTGATATTCTCATCTCAGATAAAATCACTTTCCTGGTAACATTTCATACATTTGTGCAACTAAACATTTTGACTGAGATCGCAGGCCTCGTCTGCTTCTCCTGTTTATCCATGTGGATGGCTTTATACTGTATTTTAAACTCTTGCTTGGTATTTGCTTGGGATCCTCACTTTCGTGTTCAAATCCCTTCACCCTCTGGCCCCTCCCTCCCTCCCCGACCCCCTCACTCCCCAATCCACCACCCGGCACCTCCGCTCGACTGGCACCGGCTCCGCTCGTCCCTCGCACCCTCTGCCCCACCATCGGAGGTCGCGCTTTCAGCCACTACGCCCTGAAACTCTGGAACACTCTCCCTCAGTCCCTCCGCCTTGCCCCCCCTCTCCCCCTTTTCAATTCCCGCCTAAAAACCTTCCTTTTTGACCGTGATTACGGCCACCTCCCCCCTCCCCGGCTCGGAGTCAGGTTCCGCCAGTGTTAAGCTCTGACTTACTGCCTTGGTGGAGGGGGCTGTATAAGTGCAAGTTGTTGCTGTTGTTTGTTATGTCAAACTTGAGCATTGATACAGCGCCTGGGGACGTCCTCCCGATGTGAAAAACGCTGTACAAATGTAATCTTGTTGTTGGTTACATCAACTGTCTGAAATGGTTTCACCACCTAACCACTGAGCACTGATTTACCTTGTCCTCAAAGCCCGGTCCTGTCTGTGTAACGTTAAACCAACTCCAGTGAAAACATATCATTGACAAATGTTACCCCATCATCACCATCACCGCATGGCGCTGACATTGTCTAATCTCTTTTCTCAGGTTCCCCTTGTACCCACGAGGAGGAGAGAGGTTTCAGTTTGAATATGGAGTCTATCTACTAAACAAGAATATAGCCCAGGTATGTGGGAGACTGAGCAGGGACAGCAGGGAGCTTCGTGGGTTTGGAAGCATAGCTTCCACTTTATTTCTGGAGATATAGAGATGGCTGAAGGGACTAGATAATGTAGACCTTGATAAGCTGTTTTATCTTGTCCAGAACAGTAGAACCAGAGGACACGGCCTGCGATTGAATCGGGTAAATTCAGAACAAATCTTTGGAAACTACTTCAGTGAGCGAGTAGCAAATCTGTGGAACAGGCTCCCTAGGGAGACAGACAGTGGAAGCAGAAAGTGTTGATTCTTTCAAATGCAAATGCAGAGATAGATTGTTGGAATGGAATGTGCTCTCTCTCTCTCTCCCTGGAGGGACGCCCCCTCCTTACCCAATTCCAGAGAGTTTTAGGCGCAGGTTGGCAAGAGCCAAGACTTGGGGGGCCCCAGAGTGTGTGTTGGGGTAACTGCTGGTGTCTAACCAGCTAAACCCACACAGCTTGGCCATTGCTATCGCTGTCTGGCCAAGCTTTCCCGCTGCTTGTCCAGCGAGGACCACCCTCCCCGTTAGGGCTTTGGTTGTGGGGTGACCAGGAGCGGAGGGGGAGGATTCCCTGCCCCCAGTGACTGATTGGTTAGCTCTCATAGAATGAAAGAGCTTTCAGGATCTTGCTTTTCCCATTGCGACTTCAAACATGAGTTTATTTCAATAGCTGTGGGGAGAAGGGCAGATGTTTCTTTTGGTCTGAATTAGAAGTGATTCCTAGTACAGCAATGTTAGGAAAGATTCTGTGGCTTTGTCTCAAAAGTACATACTGAGAAACAAGTAATTTTGTTTGTACATATTGCAAATAAGAGATTGGAGATTCCACTAGGATCCTGGAGTGAGAACTCCACATGCTTTCCGCATCGAAACCTTTGAATACGAGGGAGTGATCTCAGCAGTTAGAACTGTAAAACATTTAATGGTGGTAAATAATTATGATAATAATACTTGCATTTGATATAGCGCCTTATTTCGTCTTTAAGACATCTCAAAAAGCTTCACAAGATATACTCTAAAGTGAATTGATTGTATGTTTGTGGACCAATTGCGCACAGCAGCGTCTCACAAACTCTCGTAGATTACCCCCAGAAAAGCTATCCGCCAATCAACTAACAAGTGGATTCCTACTTACTGCTAGGTAAACAGAAGTATGTGGAGTAAGGAAACTTGTCCAACATTTTGCCCTGCTGGGAATCGAACCCAGGTCCTCTCGCTTGTGAGGTGAGCGCTCTAACCACTGATCTACAGGACTTTAACCACTAATACTTCCAGGACTGGGTGAGGAGGATGAGTGCGGTCTCCATTCTATACACAGTGACGTTGAAAATCAATTTTGATAAACCAAGCTTGGTTTATTATTATATTATTATTGGTGTGCAGAGAAAGGTTTCCGCAGTATTGAGCAGGTAAAGACTGTAATATACATGCAGTGAAGAGATCAAAGCAGGAAAGTATTGAAGAGTAGGATTATGGATGTCATCTGATCCTGCCTGCTGTTCCCGTCCACAGCCTATAATATTCCTCCTCTCCCAGCAGCTCACTATCCTATTTTCAAAGGATCGATAATCTTTGGCTCAATAGGTATCAGCCTGGCTCAGTCTATCACTCTCACCTTGAGTCAGAGGATTATGTTTTCAAGTCCCATTTCAGGACTTTGAGTTCATATTCTCTATGCTGACACTCCAGTTCAGTTATGGGGTGCACTGCATTGTCAGAGGTGCCGTCCTTTGGGTAAGACATTAAACAGAGATCCCATCTGTGCCCTATTTAAGTGAACCTTAAAGATACCATGACACTATTTGATAAGAGAAGGGAGTTTCTCCTAGTGACTTGGCTAACAATCCCCAAGATAAACCTTACTTCTGCGACATTGCTGTGCATACATTGGTTTCTGGACGTTGAGGACGTTCGGTCCCTCTACACCTCCATCCCCCACAAGGACGGCCTGCAGGCCCTCCGCTTCCACCTTGACAGCGGACTAACCCATCTCCATCCACCACCACTCTCCTCCTCCTCCTCCTCCTGGCTGAATTTGTTCTGACATTAAACAACTTCACCTTCAACTTCAGGTGTTGCTATGGGAACCCGCATGGGCCTACTCAAATCTGCTCCCTGACCTGTTCCTCAGATACATTGACGACTGTGTTGGGGCTGCTTCCTGCTCTCGCAGTGAGCTGGAAAAATTCAGCCCTTTTGCTTCCACCTTCCACCCCTCCATAATATTCACAAGGTCTGTCTCCGACTGCTCCCTTCCTCGACCACCATTTTCATCTCGGGGCATAGATTATCAACAGATATCTTGTACAAGCCACTGACTCCCACAGTTACCTGGACTACACCTCCTCCCACGCCACCTCCTGAAAGACTCCATTCCCTTTATCCAGTTCCTCCGTCTCCGCTGCATCTGCTCTGACGATGCCACCTTTCACACCAGAACAGCTGAAATATCTTTCTTTTTCCTCGACCAAGGATTCCTATCCACTGGTGGGCAGGGCCATTGACCATGTCTGCTCTATTTCCCGCACCTCTGCCCTCACTCCTTCCCCCTCTTCCCAGAACCATGATAGGGTCCCCCTAGTCCTCACCTTACACCCCACCAGCCTAAACATCCAACAAATAATTCACCGCCATTTCCGGCACCTCCAGCGTGATCCAACCACTAAACATATCTTTCTCTCCCCTCTCAGCATTCCGAAGGGACCGTTCGCTCTGTGGAGTGCGTTTCTAGGTTGTTACATAACACCTTCAAGTTTTCCGAGCTGCCAGTCTGTTCTTACTTACCAGATGATGTGGTAATAGTCACAGAAAAGGGGGAGGGGGGAGTTGAGCTATTATGGTCTGAAATTGTTGAAATCAATATGGAGGCCAGAGGGTCCCTAGCAGATAAATGAGGTGCTGTTCCTCGAGCTTGCGCTGGAACAGTGCAGGAGACTGTGTGGAAGGAGAGGTCAGAGTGCGAGTTGAAATGGCAAGAAAGCGGAAGCTCAGGGTTTTGCTTGCGGACAAAACAGAGATGTTCGGCAAATCGGTCACCCAATCTGTGTTTGGTCTCCCCACTGTAGAGGAGGCCACATCGTGAGCAGCGAATGCAGTAAACTACATTGGTGGTGGTAAACGGAAATCGCTGTCTCACTTGAAATCTGTGTTTGGGGCCTTGGACAGTGGTCTGGGAGGAGGTGAAAAGGGCAGGTATTGCATCTCCTGCACTGGCATGGGAAGGTGCTGGGAGAAGGAGAGCAACTGTTGGTGGTGATGGAGGAATGAACCGGGAAGTCACCATCTGGGTCCCAGACACACCTTTTCTCTCAAAACAATAACAGAAGTCGCTGGGAACACTCAGCAGGTCAGGCAGCATCTATGGAGAAAGGAAAGTGAGTCAACGTTTCTGGTCCGTGATCCTCGTCAGAACGTTCAGGCTCGACCTGAAGATGGAGAAGGAAGGGACAAGGTGGAGGGATAGAGGGAGAGTGTTCCAGAGTTTCTGTAATGGCTGAAAATGCAGCCACCGATGGTGGAACCGAGGGCACGTGGGACAAGCAGGAGCGCGGAGGCAGCGGGTAGTGAGTTGGTGAATAATCAGGCCCTGACATTGTACCTCAAATTATTCAGTTATCTGTCTGTTTCTCACACGCTGCTCCCCCTTCCCCCCCCCCCCCCTCCCCCTCAACTGCCCACATCCAAACATCGCTTTACGGGGCTAATAATCCCTTCAAAAACAAAAAAATTAAATAATAATTTGGTGACTCAATCCACCACTGTTCGTGTGGGACATTGCTGTGCGCCATTGGCTGCTGCGTTTCACCCACAAATATACAGTCAATTCACTTTACAGTTTATCCTATGAAGCGCTTTGAGACGTCTAGAAGACATGATAAGGCTCTGTAACAAATGCAAGGATTATTATCAATATGGCATGTTTTCTTACATTTTCAAAGTGGGTCGGCTCACCATGGTTTACGACTGCAGTGTCCGAGCAAAGCCTCGAAGGAGACGTGAAGTGTGCGTTTCCTCTGACAGCCTTGGCTCAATTTCCACAGTCATCTTTATCCTCCAAAGCAAAGTAGCATTTCATGTATTACCTTTGGTATTCTGTTTGCAATTGAGCAAGCAGCTGTAGGGTGTGCTTCTAGGTTGTTACATAAACCTTCAAGCTTTCCGAGCTGCCAATCTGTCCTTACTTACCAGAAGCAAAGACAATGTCATGGGCCTCGGTGGGTTTGTGCATCACAATCCTTCCATTGTGATAAAGCACCTTTCAACTCAGGATTTCATCTGAAACTGCTTCACAAGATATGTCACAAAGTGTGGTGACTGTGTATTTTGTAGGTGAACCCAGCAGCCAATTTGAGGCCATCACAACAATAATAATCCTTGCATTTGATTGGTGCTTTATCACATTATTGAGACGTCTCAAAGCACTTCACAGGATATACTGTAAAGTCGATTGACTGTGTATTTTGTGGGTGACACGCAGCAGCCAATTGTGCACAGCAGTGAGTGACCCACAAACACTCGTAGATTGAGTGCCCATTTTGGGGAGGTTATTACTTTTGGAAAGCAATCCACCAATCAACTAACAATCAAGTTCCTACTTCCTGATCCCTGACTTTTCAGTGCCTTGGGACTGTTGTGTGGTTGTTACTGCTGGTGAATAGATGCATGTGGAATAAGGAAACTTGCGTAAGGTTTCACTCTGCCCGGGAATCAAAGCCAGATCCTCTCGCTTGCGAGGCGAGCACTCTTACTAATACACTGCCGGACTCTACCTGATAGTAAATACTATAATGCACTTTGAGATGCTATAAAAATGGAATTTATTTAACACATATGTTAACAGGGATTTGCTGTGATCTACAGTACAGTGTTTAAATGTAAGATTGGGCCATGGAATACACAATACTGTGTGAGATCCTATTTCCCCAGCGACTGTTAAATCATGTGCATCCAGTAGAGAGCTAGTTGTAGGACAGCTTCCCAGAACC